CAGGACCTGAATTTAAGCAGCAGTGCACTAACAGTTCAGAATCGCTGAGGTCCTGTACCCCTACACCTCTTGCCAGGCTGGCTTCCCAGTCAGCCCCTCTATCCTGAAAACTTGAGGACAAAAATTGAACTAATGATTCCAGCAGATAAGTCCTTGATATTAGGCTGAATTTTGTTTGACCCAGTATTCAAAAGACACGTTACAGTCATTACTTTGAACTTCATTTCTTCTTCAGAAACAGTTCAAAGCATTTTGAGAACATGGAAGCCAAAATCAAACCTGAAAAATGCCACAGACCCACGTTAAAATACTCAATTTTTCTCCTGAGATGCCTACTGTTGCTTTCATAGCTTGTCAAGCAACCCCCCTTCAGATTTAGCACAGGATCTGCACTTCTCATTCATCACAAGTCTCAGAACTGAAGCACTCCAGCTGCTCCAGGGCTATACCCTTAAATGTGATCTTGCTGCTATGTTATACTTTTCTGTTGTTATGACCTTGGCTATTTTTGACAAAGAGATAAAGATGAAATAGGTTCATGCTCTTAATGACCATTTCTTCCAAACGCCCTTTCCAAAGAAAGCTGTTACCCATATGTGTACGATACTGATCACCCTGTGCCACTCAGCAATATGATAAGCTCTCTCGCCCAGGTGACATAGCATGAGGAAGGATGGTTCGGCATTACTATCCCAACATCCATTTAATTACACTGTGGACAAATAGTGCATTTTCTGCTAAAACTAATAGCAAAGCAAACATTTTGAAAACCACTTTAGTTTTTCACTACAACCTCTGTGTTTGTTTACTTCAAAATTTCTCAAACACAATTTTGGAAGGTTCTTGGTTTCAATTCAGGGCTCTTGCTCTGAACTTTCCTTTTTCTACCTGTTGCAGAATAAGGTGTAGAATTATTGTTCTGTGAATCCCCTTCTAACCAGAAAGATATTTGTGATCTTCCCCACAATGAAGAATGCTCTTTAGAGTAAAAATAGTCTTCAGTAATGTTGCCTGATGAGTTTTAGCATTCTGAAAGACAGACACCCTTATTCTCTGTGAGCCTGATAGACTCAATGAGACTCTTCCCTTAGATTTCACTGAGGTCTTTGTAGCTGTTTCTTCAAAACTGACTCAGCAACATCCTTAAACACCTGCTTAATTTAAAGTAGATGAAAAGTCCTGCTCATGTGTCAACTTAAGGATATGTTTAAGTGCTTTGCTGGATTGGGGCCTAATGGCTTGCAAATACAGATGGTTATTATCAAGACCCAGAAAAGGCCAGGTAACCACCAACAGTCAATTATATTCCTACCAGAACTTCAAGCCAGTATATCATACTGTTTGAAGTTAATTGCTTTGAAATAATTGGACAGGTGAGCAGGTAAGTTCATGCGGAGCATTTGCCATTTTCCTTTGTATTAAAAAAGAACAACAAAACACTGCAGATTGCATGGACATAATGGGCATGATTAAAAAAAAGTTGAAAGGGAAGGGAAAAGGTATGTGTTTCTTTAAAGACTTTTCCTTTAAATTTTTAGTATCATTAAAACCTTAAAAAACATTTCATTCAAGAGCTTCTTTAGTTAATACCTCATTACTTCTCTTTTTATTGTTATGGTAATCAAGCCTTAATATATTGCAGCTTTATAGCATGAAATCAAGGCTAGGCCTGCGGGCATCGACAGATGCACAACAGCATGCAGTAAAACACAGGTATAGAGGCATGCAGAGCCGAATATGGCACAGGGTTTTTTTATAATTGTTTAGCAATTCATCTGAACTGATTTTAACCTTGACAACAGATGAACTCTAACATGTAGCATGATCACTCACTGGGAAGCTGCACAAAATGGCAAGTTTTGCAATTGTTGTCTTAAAGGCTGAGTTTTATGAAAGCACGAAACAAAGTTTGAGAAAAACGTTTAAATTGTTTGGATGGCTACAGGTTGTAGCTATAACTGTTCAAAACATTTAACTGAATATATTCTGGCCAAGGGAGAATGGTAACACTAAGAAACTGGATTTAACACCACAAACTTTCCTCTCTGTAAGAAATGTATGTTCAGTGTCAGAGTTCACACCCTCTCCTGGCATAAGCAGTCCTTGCAGCACACCAAAACAAACAAACAAAAAAACAACAAAAAATATTTGGATCTCACTTCTGCTTTTGCAGTGACATTTGAACCTTGTATTGGATCTCTGGTTATATTTGAATTTCACCCATCAAACCAAATGAAAGTTATATATAACTTGTAGAAAGTTATAATAGCTGCTCTGCAGAGTGTTGAAATACTTCCTCAAGAAGAGTGAGAGTCCCCAGATCTTTTCCAAGTAAACAGCAGATGACCCCCAGTGTCAAGTAGGCTCCATTTCTTACCGTTGTTTTCAAGAGAGATCTTTCAGAAAACAATTACCTCTCCCTTGAGGTTTTTGAAATTTAAAGGGAGAGTTTTGGCAAGCAATCCCTTTCCCAGCAGAACAGTTCCAAATAGCCAACAATAAAAGTAATACGCCTATGACTTTATAAAATCACTTCGACTGAGGTCCATATAGCAAAGTTCTTCAGCCCCACGGGGAGCTGGTACGTTGCATATAGGCAACAGCTCTGGCTTATCTGGAGCACAGCTTCACAGGAACAGCCATTCAGAAACATCTAACGAATCATACTTATTTGTCACTGCAAACATGTGTCCTTCATAGTAGCTGTCTAATATTCATGGAGTAAAAAGAAAGTAGGCACAGGTAATACAATAGTTCAGTAAAAACGAATACTGTTTTCCACATTATTAATGGATAACAGAAAGGCATGACTCAAGGTGTGAATCATCACTGGATCTGAAAATCCTGGTGAGCCTGTTAGGCAAAGATCTCCAGCTTCTCTCTTGGAAATCCTCAGAATAACAACTGTACTCTATTCAGCTGATAACTCTTCTATACCTTTTAATTCAAACAAAGTTTCCTAACAATAAAGAGGCCAGTCATCCAAACTTTTAGTATCAAGCATAAAGGTGAGTTACTCTCTCAGTTGCAGTAAAAACTAACTCGGAGGCCATTCACACTTATAAGCATTACGCCTGACAGTGGTAAGTGCTTGTCAGATCAGACCTTAGGACAAGAATGCATGTTGCCCAGCATATAACAAATGGAATGAAAGACAATGGGCACTATAGTCCAGTGCACACACTAATTATATTAATAAAATGAAAGCTTAAATTTTGAGGCTAATCCTGGGCTATCATTTATAAAAGTTAACAGGGCATATTTAATTTAGGAATTGGCTAACGCTTCTCTTTCCACCACTGAAACCTCATAAATGAAATATACTGGATTGCTGCCCAGTGCGGAAATAAAAGTTATGAATAATGTTTCTATCTCAATCATTGTCAGTGCTTTAATATTCCTAATTACTTTAAAAAACTAAATATTCAATATAGGAAAACCCTTCTTTTTCTTTTTATCTTCACTTGCAAGATTAGTGTAGTTTAGTTAGAGTCACTGGGTACTTTTAGTTCACTAGGCCCATCTGTGCTTTGACATCTTATCCTTTCCTCTTCATGATTACAAAGAATGGAATACTTGTTACTCTCTGTGTGGATGCATGCACAAATGCGTATGTGTGTATGCCCATGTTATCACGAGGTTTTTATTATTTTCTCATTTTTGAACTTCTCCAAGTACACATGCATTGTATAAATACTCACTGGCTGGCAGGTTGAATCTATTCCCCAAAATAACCAAAGGATTAAATGATTATCTGAGATTCTAGACTATTTCACAACTGAAAGTACTATTTTTCCTGAAAAAAAAAAAAAAGTTCTAGATAGCTATTCAGCATGTTATGCTGCCCACTGTTTTCCCTTGTCTACACATGAGGTAGTCCCAAAAGTTTGCTTCCAACTCCAAAGGATGGACCTCCTTCCTACCCCAATTGCCTTTTCTGCTTTGAGTTGGGAGATACCAGCAAAGCTGCAGACAGAACATGAGTAACCACAGAAAAGTCTGTCCCATTGATTTTAGCCTCTGTGTTCACCCTAGTCAAATTTAACTCCTACTCTCTTCTGATGTTGCCCTTTATAGATCCTTTTTCTGTTATCTTTCTGCCTGATAATAATGCCTTGTTTTTAAGATCCCAATCAATGTGGGAGAAAGAGAGGAACTAAAAGCAAAACAAAACAGTCGTTCAGTAAATTATTCACAGGATCTTTCTATATGCGGCTTTATTTACTCACCTGTTGCCCAAATAGACTTCATTTAACAAGCTTATTTATCTTATGTCAATAATGGACTGGGCCTTTATTCCATACACCCTTTGATATTTATACCGCAAAGAACACTTGCTGTTTCACTCTAGCATGAACTAATCACATCAACTTATCTTTACCAATTAAGAGACTTTGACATATACAGCTTCTCTAGCTGAAGGAATTGAAAGCTTCAAGTGTGAATTTATTTCCTAGTAAAAGGTGCAGAACTCCCACCTCTACGATTTTCCCAACTTCTGCAGTATCGATAATTCAGGATGCAGGTTTCAAGTCAGAAGGAAGAACTGAGCTGTATGAAGAGTCAATGGTAAAACTCTCACTGGCTTCAAGAGGACAAGTATTGTACCTAGAAAGTGTACTTTCCAGGTACTCCAAGTACTCCATATAGTACTTAATGAAGAATGTGATATAGTAAAGATGAAGAAAAGATGACATAGTAAAGAAGAGAGGAAATTTTCATAATGGAGTTATAATATCTACATTGGCATTCCAATAACAGGACAGAAAGAACTAAGAGCATCCTTCACTGCTTTTAACATTTCTTATAAGAACACCCAAAAGAGAGAAAGTCACTACTGTAGCATAGGGTAATATCACAATTGAATTAACTGCAAAATAACAAACAGACAAGTCTGATTTTCCATTTCAAGCATCCAAGTTCTAAGGACATTCCATGTTTCAGAACGTTTTTTTAATAGCAGCATATATCTTTACTTCATTTTTGTAATTTTTACTCACCACTGGAGCAATCAGTACCTCCCCATCCTGGTTCACAATGACAAGTGTCAGGAGAAACGCATCTTCCATGCACACACTCCTCTGTGCAGAGTGCTGTTAAGAAGAAACAATACACAGCATTGTAAATATATTAAGCAGTTGGTAAACATACGCTAAACTATGCTTTACAGAGCAATATTTTGTTTAAAATATTAAACAAAGAAAACAAACAAAAAATAATTACTTGCAAGATTTAATTAATACTAAGTGACCAAAATAAAATATAGGTCTCTTGACAGCGATAAACTTACTTGTCAGTTCAGCTCTTTGTAATGAAAAACTTTAACACCAGAAATTACTTTGGTTAGCAGTTTTGCTTCATAATAAAATTTTTAACAAACTGACACTTATGATTATTATAATTACAGAATACTAGCTTCTTCTATTGCATTCAAGTTGCTGCTATTCATAGAAGAAAATGGAGCTCCAAAGAACCAAAACAAATTTGGAAAAATTAGCTCAAGGAAAAGAAATAATTTTACTCCATGATGCAATTGCTGTAAGTGCAGGCTTGTCTTTTCAGGGTCATCAAGTTTTCCATAACTGAAGTGTTCTACATCTTATTTGTCTACTGTTGCGTTATTGAAAGTTTGATATCCTCAAACTATGAAAAACTGGCTGGTTTTACCAACTGACTTGCCAGTTATCTAGAAATATACATGGGAGAATCTCCTTTTCTTTTTCTTGTGTAGGAATGGCTCGTGGTTTTAAGACATTTTTTCTCCTGTGCTGCTGTGGTGTCTGACTTGCCTTCCAGTGTATGCCCATCTCACACAACAAACTTGGACGATACTGAGTAGCTACTTAAGGACTGAACCTTACTGCTTACTACCTTATTTCCATTTTACCACTTAGGACATTGCCAAAAACTCAGTGTGGAAGTGATTCACACTGGATCATTAATTTGAAACGTGTAATTATCAGCTAGACTAACATGTATGACTTCTTAATGAATATTATGTTGCAGCAATGAGATCACTATATTGAAAGGGCTCTGATGTTTTTATATTCTGTGTTTTCATATTACATGGGAGATGTGGGTATTGTGCTTGCTTAACCAAGAACTGGCTGGAATTGAACTACAAAAGACTTCAACCCAAAATAAAGATTAATTCATTCCTGTCCAAAACAAGGCCAGCTAGGGTGATCTGGGATGTATCTTTGTGTTGCTAACCTGAAAACCAGGCTGAACTACCCGATTTATTTTAAATCATTCAGTGAACCTTCTTCAAGTTCCACTGGGCCTGTATATGAAACACTCGTTTCGTTCTCAGGTACCCCATGGGCCACATGTTTTCCACTGATGTCTTGATCATTTAAACAATTCCTGCTGTATTTGACATCCTGTTCGGACTACGAGATTGGATCATATCCTGAATCTACACTCAACTCAGCACCAAAACCAACAGAAACATTTTGCTGTCTATGTCTATTTGGACCTTGGAGACCAAACCCTGCAACGTATTTACAATACGTCTAAATCCAGCTTTAAAGCACAGATGATCTTTATCCATCAAATCAATATGACCATCAATTAGAATGTTGCCTCGTTAAAACAGCTGCAAAATCTTTCTAGATTAGTCATTTCTTTTCGAGGTTCGCTACATGTCAAAACTGAAATTTATTCTTATTTCATATTTTGTGTTTAGAAAGTATTAGGGGACATGAAATATTGACAGATAATTCTCTAGTCACTAAATGTCCTTATCTTTTGTGCATTTATTTTACTTGAGTTTGCTTGAGTTAGGGTTTCTAAAGACAGTGAGGCATCCTAGTCCACAGATGTATGATGAAATTCAAGACAACACATTAGAAAAATAGGATTTTTCCATTAAAAAAGACATGCCTTCATGCAGTCATTTAAAAACGGCTGGTTATCTATGATAAGGAGCAGTTCACATAGATAACAGCCACAAACTTATACCTTGCTATTAAAAGTACACTGTGCTAACAGGTAAATAATATATTGGGATACAGCTCCTTTGAAAACTGCTCCATGCAGCTTCTTCTGAGAATATGATTCATACTGATGTTACTCTTAAAACTTTAGTTTTACTAGAGTTACGAAAATTGAAACTGAGATTTTTCTGTTTCCTGTATGGGCATTTAAAATAATAAGTAATTTTTACAGGTAAAATCTGCAACGTTTTTATCCTTTTAACTTGGCCAGCCTCTCAGGCCAAGGGGTAATTTGAGAGCAAGAAGCTTGACAAGGAATATTACTGTTCTCTTCCAAATAACAAAACTCCTACTCATTACTGGTCTAAATTTAATTGATTTAACCACACAAAAATATCACACCTTAACTAAGTTAAAATAAATATGAAATAATAATGATTAATTAAGATAATAAACTTTACTTAATTACTTGTCTATAGACAGAAATGCTGACTTTAATAGTGCTCCAGTCCCTTGCGAAGAGTGTTATGTGAGACTTGTAAGCAGGGCTCAAGATACTATTCCTCATTCTAAGGCAGTCAGCGGTACATGAAATACACATTTTTTTTGCATTTTTGCTTTTTAGGCACTTTGAAGTCCTTTGTAGTTGATGATTACAATGTTTAAAGAGCAATAAAAAAGTCAAGAAACGTAAAGACAATCCATGAAGCAGTGGGTGTTCTCATCTCCGATTGATGCAAGCCACTATGAGCTCACTAGAACATGGTCATTTAAACTGTGAAATTACAGAGGACTAAAGCCATACGTGGGGATCTCAGAAATCCACCTTTTTAAAAAAGTGAAGCTTTGATATAAGCCAGTTTATTTGAGGAGACAAATAATCAGACTTGCACTGCCTGATTCAAATCAGGCCTAGAAAGTCTATATAAAGACCACATTTGGGTACTACTCAGAAGTTTTACCATGGCAAATAAAATTTCAAATTTCCTATATAAAAGGGAAGTCTTGTCTTGCTCTAATCTTTAGAGTTTAAATTAATTTTTCATTCTATTAACATTCAACATAATAGGATACAATGGTCCCCAAGGCATTCTTCATAATATACTTTATACAGTGGTTTGCAAATGATCTTACTAGTTAATGGAACTATAAAAATTACTTGCACATAAAGGTCAAGAAAAATAAAGATAAGTATATACTTTCTGGCACTACCCTGTTCAACACACAGCTAAAGGCCCCTGGAGTAAAGAAAACTTGTACTAATGCAAGGAATATAATTCCTCCCCGTATGAAAGCCCAAGCAGTTAAACTTTTGGAATTCCAGACTTTTTATGCCTGCATTTTCCCTTGACCGATTCTCTTAAACAATCCAGTACCTCATTGATCAGTTTATTATTAGCATTCTTGGCATGAGTTAAAGATCAGTTTGTAGTTTGATTCAGCCTGGTAATAAAATGACCTACATCAAAGCCCTGCCAAAATGCCATCTTTGTAGCAATGTGTTTAGCATGAGTTATTTGACCATATTCAAGGTCACGCAGCAACTGCTCCTTATCATGGAATGAAGTCAACAAAAGGCTTCTACAACAATTCATTTGATGCTTATCATTTACTTTATAATTATAAACAGTGCAGGGTGGTGTTCTTTTTTTTAACATATAAGGTCAATACTCAGGGAAATAGACATAAAGTTTATGCTCTTTCAAACCTGAAAGGACTACACAGATTCCCCTAACACCAGCACTTATTTTTTAATTGTTGTCCTGAATTTGGACTCAAGTATATTAAATGTCTTGTCTGTGTCTCCCATCTACAAAAGTAGTACACTGCTGAGTGGATCCAGACAAGTTAAACATCTTCAAAACGAAGATCAGTGTAACTCCAAAGGCTAAGGGAACCCATGGTAGAAAGCAGAAAACAGGCTTCACGAAGTGCACTTGTAGCAGCTGGTGTTGCCAGAGGGACATGCTGGAGCACTCTGTACGAGCTCGCGTTTCCTGAGCTCTGCGGGCTTTCTGCCCAGGGAGCGTAGTCCAGCCAGGAGGTAACGGAAAGCATAAATAACTGTTGCTACATTTTAATAATGGAAAACATTGCTAAATGAAGATACAGATGCTGCTATGTGAGAGCACAGACAGAGAGAAATTCAGGCATTTTCCTAGAACTACACAGAACGAGCTGTTTTATTGGGTATGCACACATGGCAGAAGGACATTGCTTCATGACTGCAAGTTCTTCAAAACATCTTTCTTTTCCCTACCTCATACAGTTTCTGCCAGTGTTCCTTCCCTACAAACAGATCTCACCCAAACTCTGACCGTTTTCCTTTGTTTGCTGTGAATCAAAGGTAGAGCTGCATTTCTTCTATATGTTGCCTGTATTTAACTTCAGGTCATCCTGCCAGTTTGCCTCATGCTGGACCCCAGAAAGTAGAAATTTAACGGAAGATGTGATGTTTTCCTTTGCTATTTAATATGTGTCCCTGGAACGATTTGGGCCATTTTACTACATTCTTCCAGTCCCTAGTGCCACTTTTAGGGGAAAGAATAATTTTGTCAGGTGAAATAGCAGTTATCTCATGGCCAGTGGTTTCAGATAATGCAGAGAGGTCAAAGAAGATGAAAAAGGATGCTTGCCCCTTATCCATTATGAATCTATTCACTCTAGGCCACTCTGGTGTTTTCATTTTAATGTACTGGCCTGAATCCAGGTTGTGCTGAGTCTAGGATATTAGCTTCATTAGATAAGCCCGTAGTCAGCTTTTGGCTAGATTCTCTTCGAATGTGCTCAGAAAAGTGAGGTTTGATAGCAGAAGAAAGATGACTACAGCTAATGCATCTGGGTAGGTTCCCCTTATTCTTAGATTATTGCTTATTTGTGGAATGGAAGATTCCCTCTTTAAATCACTGCCTTTCTATCACGAATCATGCTGATTAGATGGCTTCCTGGATAATTTTTTCAATGAAGTGGGATAATAGTTCTTCATATTGCTTAATGTCTATTTCTGTGGTCATCACTCAGGATTCATCCGCTAATTTATCACCTTGGATAGCACTTTAATGCAGGGGTTAGCAACCTTAATAGATGGAGATATGGAAAGATCTCAAGCCTGCTTAGGCTTTGAAGAATTTATTGTTTCAGTGTATAGCAACTCT